TTACCAAGTGCATAATACGTGCTAGGAGTTGTGCCAGCTTTGGAGGACACAGCAGTGAGTGGATCAGTCACACTACCCTATGGAGGGGACAGGCATCAGACCTGGCCACTGAACAAGGTACAATTAGAATTGGGGCTGGGGAAGTCCGACATTCAAGTCTACAGAATTATGTGGTACTTAGCAACAGAGAGTAGGGTTTGAGACACTGATACCCACTGCCCCTTATGCGACGACAGGTAGGGAGGAATAGAGATCTTGAGTTTTGAGTGCCGTAGGACTGACTGGTGCTCTCAGACAGAGGGCCACCATAAGCCAGGGTCACTGACACCTGCCTGACCTGTCTTTCCAGCTCTGTCATCACCGCAAGTGGGGATCCTGTGGTGACTGCTTGCCTCTGAGACTGGGGTGTCTGAGTACTGACTGCCATGCACAAAGGTGAGCAGGTAGGGCCTCCGTTTCCTGGAGCCACCACCACCCAGAAAGCCAGGAGAAAAATATCTTACAGCCATGTTCAGAACCTTGGATACAGGCTGTTTTCAGTTAGACTGTGAGCTGAGTGTTCAGGGAAAGAAGGATGTTTACCTCAAATAAACAAACATGAGAAGATTAGATTAAGCTGGAAGGGGAAAGTGACAGCTTGAACCCAGAGGGTCCTGGTTGTACAGAGGCTGGGAGGGGGGATGGCCCCCTGCTTTCCTGTAATCACAGGCACACACACACACACACACACACACACACACACACACACACACGTGCGCGTGCACGTGCGCGCACACACACACAGGCATGCATGCACACACACACATGCACACACACACGCACACACACACATGCACACACACATGCGCACACACACATGCACACAGAGGCATGCATGCACACACACGCACACACACATGCGCACACATGCATGCACACAGAGGCATGCACACACACACACATGCGCACACACACGAGCATGCATGCACACTGTGTGTGGGTGTTCCATTTTACAAACTAAGATGTTACAGGGAAGCTGATCATACAAAACAGAGCAAAGCAAAACAGGGATGGGAAAGGAAGCCCTTCACACATGAAAATCCCATGGGCCACTGCAACAGCCTGATACTGGGTGACCTAGTCAGGGTTAGTACTGCTGTGATGAAACACCATGACCAAAAGCAAGTTGGTGAGGAAAGGTTTTATTCAGTTTACACTTTCAGGTAACAGTTTGTCACTGAGGAAAGTCAGGGCAGGAACCTGGAGGCAGGAGTTAATGCAGAGGCCATGGAGGAGTGCTGCTTACTGGCTGCTATCTTATAGAACCCAGGGCTACCAGCCCAGGGATGGCACCACCCACAATGGGCTGGGTCCTCCACATTGATCACTAACTGAGAAAATACCCTACAGGCTTGCCTGCAGCCTGATATTATGTGGGCATTCTCTCAGTTGAGGTTCAGTCCTGACGGTAAGTCCTCGGTTGTCCTAGTATGTAATAACTGTTTAATAAATCTGCATTGGCTCAGTGATGTACCAAGGGCGCTGTTTATTTCACTCTGTTCTCTATGTTTTTCTACAAATACTTTTTGAAGAAACGAACCTAGGCTTAAACCTCAGAGAGACTCCTTAATGGCCTATCGTTTGAATTTATAGCACTTAAAAGGGTTTTATTCTGTGGCCTAAATTGCAAGGCTCACAGCGAGGCAGTTGAAGGATGATAAGAAGAAGCCACAATTTGCATCCAGGACAGATGTTCTTTGTTGTTCTGCGCTCAAATCAGCTCCCAGGTTCTCATTGACTAGAGGTGAGCATCCATCACCATGGCAACAACCGTGTTACTCAGGCTACCCCACCCTCGGTATGTCTGCTGCCTGCCTGATTGGATGCCAGATCCCAGAGAGCTGGTTGGAGACATAGGGGTCTCAGTGGGCCCAGCATCATTCCAAAGTCGAGGCGCATATCTCAAGGGTTCTGTTTCCTTAGGGAAAGAGGAGTTAAGCATAAGAACAGGTCCTGTGTGCCGAACTCCCCAAGCTCGCTCCTTTAGGACTGCGTTCCAGGGCCTGGCACATTGCACAGATGAGCTATGAGCCCTGAGTCCTGAGTGAGTGAATGTCACCAGACTAACCCAGAGCTTTTGAAATGGACAGATGCCAGTTGTACTTAGAACCAGCTGCTTGGGACTTTGGGGACAGAAACTGAAGCCAGGGCGCAGAGGCCGCTGGCAGGCTGGAGTTGCACTCAGATGGGAGATGAGAGGAATGCAGGGTCGGGAGGCATTGTTGGGGGTGCTGAGGATGGAGCCCTTCCCACGTCATGAAGGTTCACTGGGGAGCAGAGGTTCCAGGGTAACCTGAAGTGTCCAGTGTAACGCAGAGGGAAGTGTGCCAGAGCAACAAAGCTGATGTCAGAGAGCCAAGTAAGTGGGGAGCTACAAGCGTGTTGGGGCACTAGCGGCTAAAGCTGAGATTTAGATCTCCAGCTTGTGGAGGTCGAGGCCTGGGAGAATCCTGGGAGCCATGGAGCCACTACTAAATTCAGACTCACACCTTGCATCTCCTTTTCTTCCCCAGCAAGACAGTGAAGGAGTGCTGCCAGGACCAGCCACCCCACCCAGGCTCCCCAGGAGCGAAGAGAGGCATTCTTTTTGAACAGTTATTACTAGTGCTAGGACAACTGAGGACTTAAAATCAGCACCACATGAAATGGAAGTGTACCGCAGATGTGCTGCGTGGGACAAGGGTTGAAAACGAAGCCACCGCGGAAACCAAGGCTGGCAGGCTGCTCTTCTTCAAGTGAGCTCCCACCTGAACCCTTTCCTTTGCAGGTTCGTGGAGCGGCCAAAGGCAGCAAAAGGCGAACACGCCACCTGCTGGCTCTGGAGCGCGAGGTCGGAGCAGTCTGGCTCGCCACCTGGTGGCCATTTGAGGTCTCGCATTCTGCATCTGGTCGGGCAGAAGATTCCCCCAAAACTCCCACCTCAGCAACCCAACCGGGAAGTCGCCGTGATCAAGCCAGCTCTGCAGTCTCCGGGGACTCCCAGGACTGGATCTTCCGAGTCATCGCCATCTATTTCCCCACCCTACATCATTGGCTGTGGCATTTGAACCCACCTCTGAACTCACCCAAACTTTAATCCTTTGCTTAAACATGGCCAGTGTCAGACTGCAGGACAACTGGGCAGGATGACGTCACAGCCCCTGCACTAATATGGCACTCAGGCCTTTGGTCCTGGTACAGGTCAGAGATGAACTGTAACAGGGTAATGGGGCTTTTTTGTACCCCTGGGTGAGGAACACATCAAGTGCTCCTCCACTCCAGGGCCCAGGAGTTTATGGGTAAGTTGAGACCCACCCCCCAACTCCCACAAAGCAGTCTGATAGGGGTGCACTGAGTTCAATGTGTGGCAGACTGTGCAAAGGACACTGGTTTACTCAGGAGGTTCCAGGTTTAGACAGGAGACAAAGAACTATAACCTCATTATAGTCTGGAGACGGGATCGATCCACTTCTGGTGATCTGGGCACACCGAGGAAGCTACAGGGAACTGGGCTTAGAGGGCAGCTCTTAACCCATCCCACAGGGAAAAGGGCACTTGAAGTGCTGAGAGCAGCTAATAAATACTCTGATCCTCAACCCTGGCTGCATGCAAATTGCACCCATCAGAGATATTTGAAAACTCCCTTGCCCAAATCAGTGGCCCCTGAGCTTGAGTGCTATGGGCTGAATGCATCACTCAGAGCCATGTTTTGAAACTAACTTCCAGTGGATGAAGCTGTTAGGGCTAGGTGAGGTCACAAGGGTAGAACACTCAGGATGGGATCAATGCCCTTACGAAAAGAGAAAGCCACACATACATCATACATCAACCAGGTTGTATACACAGAACCTGAGAACACTATCAAGCCTCCAGACCCACGAAAAATAAATGTGTGATTAGCTCATTCAATTGTGATGTAGTATAGGAAGGTGTTGCGGTATGCAGATGAACTGTCTCCCTAAAGGTTCATGTGTTGAAGGTTGGATCCCCAGCTGGTAACACTATGCAGAGGCTATTGGTTCCTAAAGGTTCCTAAATGAGTTAACTCATTGATGAGTTCATAGGTAAGTGTGCTAGTAGGAGATAAGGCTTGGTGGGAGGAAGTGGGTCACTGGGAGGCATGACTTTGAAGGTTATATCCTGTCCCCGGCTCTTCCTCCTCCTCTTCTTCCTCCTCCTTTTCCTCCTCTCTCTCCCTCTACCCTGTCCCCCCTTCCTTTCTGTCACATTATTCTGCCTCATCACAGTCCCCAAAATACACAGCCAAGAGACCACTAACTAAACCCTCTGAAGCCATGTGCCCAAGACAGTCTTTCCACCTGTAAGTTTTCTTAGGTATTTAACACGGCAATGTAAAATATAAATACATAGTCCAAGCTGATAGTAGATAGTAGAGGTCAGGGGGCAACAGAAAGTGCTTTAAGGCAAGGTCTGGAGCCATCAGGAAAGGCTTGGTGGCATGAATTCATATTCTTGAACCTGGGCATGGAAGTCTGTTTTCTGGAATACACATGTGGAAATGCACTGTTGCCTATGGGCTGCATGACACAGGGTAAAAAATGAGGGGCAGGAAGACACACGGATCCATGTCATCAGAACCATGGAAAATTCCATTGCTAGTAAATGGGGTAAACAAATGAGCAAGGTATTTCATCTATTTAGTTTGCATAACGTGATTTCCTAACAGCCTCCATGTCTGTCTTTGCCTCAGGAAGGAAGTGGTAGGGCTGGGGTATAGGAAGTGGCAGAGCTGGGATGTAGGAAGTGGTAGGGTGGGGTGTAGGAAGTGGCAGGGGGAGGTATAGGAAGTGTCAGGGTGGGGTGTAGGAAGTGGCAGGGTGGGGTGTAGGAAGTGGCAGGGGGAGGTATAGGAAGTGGCAGGGTGGGGTGTAGGAAGTGGCAGGGTGGGGTGTAGGAAGTGGCAGGGTGGGGTGTAGGAAGTGGCAGGGTGGGGTGTAGCTCAGTAGGTGAAGGGCTACATCCCATGCACTAAGCCCTGGGTTTAGTCCTCAGCACTGAATAAACTAGGTATAGTGGCAGACTGAGTCCCGTAATCCCAGGTAGAGGCAGAAAGACCAGAAGTTCAAGGTCATCCTTGACTGTGTGCCAAATCCAAAGCCAGCATGGATTTGATGAGACCCTATCTCAAAAGTAAAGGAGGGTTGATGAGACGGCTCAGTGGGTCAAAGTGATGACCACCAAGCTTGACGATCTGAGCTCGATCCCCAAAACACACATGGTAGAAGGAGAGAACCAACTCTACAGACTGTTCTCTGCTACCTGCCTCTGCACACACCTTGGCACATGTGCACATGCACACACAAGGACTAGACAGACAGACAGACATAGATGATAGATTTTTTTAAAAAAGAAAAAGAAAAAGAGAGCTGTGGGTCACTGAGGAGTTCATGCCACCTGTCATGAAGTTACCTCTGTTCTGAGGAGTCACTTGGTTCATGCTCACATGTCCTTCTCCCGGTAAATAGCCAATGTTCCGGGGATATCTGTAGAACTTCTAGGCACCCTCCATTCCCATCACCTGCCCCTTGGAGGGGGCAGTCTTCAGTGAACTTGGATTTGAGGGGCTTTGCCACACCTCGCCTGTACTAACAAAGCTTGGGGCATGTCAGACCACAAAACCCGAGCACTGGCCTGATCGTTCACCCTGGTGTTTCCTGTGTTCTCACTGGTTCCTGCTTACACTTGTCGATTCTGTGGCCTGAGGTAGATCTTCAAGGACTGGAGGAGTTAAGGATTTAACTTTGTGGGGGAAGTGGGGAAAGCTCCAGAGACCCCAACGCTCCTGAGAAGTGGCTGGAATCTCAGACACGACCGTGAGCCCTTCAAGCCCAGGTCCTGGGTTCCGCCCTGTACCACCAGCCACCACTTACCCGGGGGCTAATCGCAGGACTTGCAGATGCAGTCAGAAGGCATTTCCAATAACCTTCAAATAGAGAAACTGGGACTTGTGCCTCCCCTAACCTTACCAGCCAGTCCCTGGGTCACCTGTCATTGTCCTCTTCTTGGTCCTCAGAGGCTGGAGACAGATGTGAGTCGGGGTATGTTCTACAGGAGGGAGACCCCACAGAGCCTGATGGAGAGGTGGATGACGAGAAAAGGAGACCAGGGGGCCATTTCAGAGTGTGCTCATGATCACCCGAGGCCCCCTGGGAAAAGTGGCTGTCCAGCACAGCCCAGAGCTCTCACATGGGAAGGGCAAGGCAGCCTGGTGCCAGCTGTCCACCCCTTCGTCCATGGATTAAGGCTGCTCCCTCTTTGGCATCTCTAGCTGACCTAGCACATGCTCACACCTTGCTGGCCAAAGACAGATTCCAAAGGGACATGTGGGTGGGGCACCTACTCCATGTCAACCACTCGGGGGCAGCTCTAGAGTTTCTCCACCCACTGGGAACTAATCCATCCCTGCAGGTGACAACATCATCACCAGCTAGTTCACTCAAGTGGCATCATCCATGAGCTGAGTGTGAGACAGGTGTTTTACTAGAATCTGGCCAGGAAGACTTCTCCCAGATGATAACTCCACCATGCTGGGCAGGTGTCCAGCATCCATGCAGTCATTCAGCGAAGCAGGTTACTCGGATACACTTTGGCTGTTCAGGGGAGGCTGAGGCCAATTGGGAAGATTTTAACTTCCCTCAAAGTACAAACGCCAAGAACAAAGGTCTAATTTTTTCCCTCCTGTCACAAGAAAGCAGTGACATCATCAGGTTTTTTCATATTCTTAAAATGGCACCTTTCTAAAGTGCAGACAGGGACACTGATTGCACTGGAAACATTGGAGATGACCTTCACTCTTGTCCTATGTACCAGTGTGGCTCAGCTTCTGAAGGATCTCAACGCTGAACTCAGTCCTCACACAGACTGTTTTCCAAGCCTCGGGAGCTCAGATGGCGAGTTATCATGGTTCTAATCCTCGTGTACCAAAAACAAGGTGAGGGGACCTGCAGGACCTGTGTCTGTCACCCCCAAGCTGCCAGAGTCCGCACTTTTTAGCAAGGTAGTGAAACTTCCCTTTTGCAAAAAAACAGCATGAGGGTTTTGTAGGTATGCAGAAACCTGTTCTGCATCAGTTTGAAGGCGATGAACACGATCTCCATGCCGACAATGATATAAATGGAGAAGAAGAGGAAGAAGTGGGGGTGATCTAGGGTGATGTCCCCGAACCCAATGGTGGTCAGTGTGACGAAGCAGAAGTAGAAGGCATCCTCGAAGCCCAGCTCCGTCTCCCAGAACGGGAGGACAGCAGCTGCACAGGAGATGTAGGCGAAGATGACCAGGGCAATGACAGGGAGAGGGATGTCCAGCCTCTCCACCTGCTGGCCCACTTCATCCAGATTGCTAAGGATAGAACAGGACAGCCGTCCCAGCACCAGCTCGGGACATGAGCTGCTTCTCTCTACAGGACGCATCATGGGTGGTTGTAGCTTGTCCTGTTTCTCTTGTGCAACTAATCTCTCAAACAGCTCCACATTGCAGCTTGGAGACGCAGGCTCCCGGTATGGCTGGGGGTCTAGGAACTCATCCACCCCAGCACTGATGACAATCTGAGGGATGGTTTCAGCCACAGGTTTGCTATCAGGCTGCCTCCTGCAGAGCAAGCTGGAGCACCACTTGGAGGGAGCATGGGGGAGGCAAAGGAGAGCCTGGAACCGATTGTAAGCCCTGGATAAGATGGTGGCTAGAATGTCCCCTATGTCTGTGAGGACCAGGAACATCAAAGGGATTCCAAAGAGAGCATAGAGCATGCACAGGAACTTGCCAAGCCTGGTGACAGGGTACATGTGGCCATAACCTGAGAAACAAGACAGAGCCTGGTGTTGGTATCAGTCTCTCGCATCCCTCAGAGGCTCAAAAGAGAGCTGCTGTTTCTTCTCCTGAACATGCAACTTTACACAGTAAAAATATTCATCCTGGACTAGGTGCATAACTCAGGGGTAAAGCTTGTGCTTAGAATGCATAAGGCTGCAAGTTCAAACCCCATGCTGAAAATAAATGTACACATGAATGAATAAGTAAATATCCATCTCAAAGCATCTGCATGTGTGTCTGGCATGTATCTTGACAGAGGGACAGGGAAAGAAGAAAGGCAGTTCATATTCAGACTGAAAATGTCTTTGGCAGGGACATGCTGGGGATGAAGCGACTGCCCTTCATTTTGTTGTGGCCCACCCCCACCCTCGAGGCTGAGCTCCACCGTCCTGTAAAAGCACAGGTGTGAGGCAGTCATTTCCACTGCCTTCTTCCTCTTGCCAAAGATGCCTGCTTCTAAGAAGCGAAGCCACCTTTGTCCTTTCTGAGGTTCCTGAACCTCTTGTTGTATTTGTTTTTATACAACAAGCATTTATTTCATGCAGTGCTGTGGACAGCAGGATGTATTTTATTAGGGAGCAATAGAAAGAAGATGCAGGTACAGCTGTGTCCTCAGAGCTGTGAAGTTCCAGGTGAGAGAGTGTGTTCTTGAGTGGCAGGGAGGGTACCAGCACGGAGCACTCCCAGACAGCCGCCTCAGTTCACAGCCCAGCTCTGAACAGAACAGACCTCTACTTGACTGCTCACATCTTTGCACTTCAGGTTGGGGAGGGGGAGGGTGCTGCCCTTAAGTGACTAGTTGGGAAGATCCTGCCAGGCTGGGACCTGAGACTCCATAGGCTAGTAAATGTGATGCCCTGAGAGCTAATATCCACGTATTGAACACCTGCTGTGGGTGGTGAGTGGCCAGCCTTCCTGGAGAGATATTCTCATAACTTACAAATGGAGAAACTGAGGCAAGGGGCAACGAAGTAGCTTGGCCCAGCACATATGTATAATAAATAGTGGATGTTGGGAGTCTAGGTCACAGGGTTCCTCAGGCCTCACCACTGCTTGTAGTCTCGGGACAGGAATCTCATCTAGTGAGAACTGGCTGGTCAGTGCCCACCGGGGGCTGTTTTTCGGCCACTCCCATGCCACCTCCCTTTGCAGAAGACAGGAGCCAGGAGCTGAGCCAGCAGCCCTCAGCATAGGCAACTGGAACTTTTAGAGCTGTTGACAAGCAGAGGAAAAAGGTTTGCTGTGTGTGTTTGTGTTTAATCTTTGATTAATATAGAAAAATGCATCAATTGTGTAAATTAAGTTGAAGGTGATTCTTAGCAAGCTGAGCACTAGTCTTCTCCACTTGTGCCTCCCTGTTGGAAACTTGGCCTCCCAGAGCAGACAGACTGTGGGATGGCCACCTCACCAGAATCCCAGGGAGAAAGCAGAAGTAGAAGGCATCCTCGAAGCCCAGGAAGGATTGTGACCCTCCAAAGTTCTCATCAGACCCCTTTCATCTGTCTCAGAGCACTGCACATCCCGCAGGCTGAGGCAGGGCTGACCATGTGGTAGCAGGGTTAGTTAACTCCACGCATTCATTCATTCATTCATTCATTCATTCAGTGAGTGGTTATGAGTGTTTAGTGATTTACAAAGGACACACTCGAGACACATTTACAATGTCCAACCTCTGTGAGTTTCTGGTTCAGGGGAAGCGGATGTCAATCAAATACCCACCAATATGACTACCATTATTTGAGATGCAGCTTAATCACAAGAAGGAAGAGAACAAAATATTATAAACGTGATTGTTATAAATGTGGTTAAAACAAAGGCTTCCATTCAGGATCTAGGCTCAGATTTCTTGGTTAGGTGGCTTGAACAGAGATGAGACAGGGGTTGTTCTCATTTACTTTTGTTGCTGTGATAAAAACACTGACCAAAACCTATTTGGGGAGGAAAGGGTTTGTGTGGCTTACAGGATACATTGCTGAGGGAAGCCAGAACAGGAACTCAAAGTGGGGACCTAGAGGCAGAAACTGAAGCTGAGATTATGGGGGAGCCCTACTTAGTGGCTTCTTCCCCTCTTTAACTGCAGCACAGGCCAAGCCAGCTCCCTGAGGATGCGCTGCCCACAGTGGACCTCCTACATCAATTTGCAATCAAGAAAACGCGCCACAGACGTGCCCTCAGTCAATTCTAATGGAGGCAATGCCTTAATTAGGCACCCTTTCCCCAGGTGTGCCAAGTTGGCAGCCAAGATTAGCCAACCCGGGGACCAGAGACTGGCCAGGTGAGGAAGCACCAGCATGTGCAAAGCTCCCGTGGCTGCTGCACACAGCTAAGTAGTTTGTGCACTGCACGTATATCCAGGGCGTGACAGGGAGCTAAAATCCAGCCTGCCGTGCACTCGCCAAGCTGTGGGCTCAGGACTCATCTATCTATGTCTCCCTAGAGAGGATTCCAAATTTTAACCAAAGTGTCTCCAGAGTAAAGCTGCCACTATATATGAGGAATCAAAGGAAGGCCCGTGTGGCAGTTGAATAAGAATACCTCCCCCAATGGGCTTATGTATTTAAATGCTTAGTCACCAGGGAATGGAACTCTTCCATAGGATTAGAAGGATTAAGAGGTGTGGCCTTGTTGGAGGAAGTGTGTCACTAGGGGTGGGCTTTGAGGTTTCAAACGCCCATGCCAAGCCCAGATTCTCTCTCCCTGCTGCCTGAGGATCAGGATGTAGAACTCTCAGCTACTTCTCCAGCACCGTGTCTGCCTGCATGCCACCGTGCTCCTTGCCATGACGATAATGGACTGAACCTCTGAATTGTAAGCAAACCCTCAATTAAATTAGCCTTAGTGTCTCTGCAACAACAGAACAGGAACTAAGATAACCAGTGTGGCCAGTGGACATGGATCAGGGGAGGGCAGTGAGGTGAGGCCGGGGAAATAAGAGATCTAAGGACTTAAAGAAGGAAGGAGTATCTTGGGGTGTAAGAAAAGTGCTGGGGAAGACAGAGCTGGGTCATATGAAACCCGACTGTGTAGGTTGATTTTGGGGTGAGTTCCCACTCAGAGGAGTTTGGCAGAATTCAGGAACACAGAAGAGAGGAAGTGCTGTGGAGGGAATTGGCCACCTCACTCTGATTCATGAGCTCTGTGACCTGAGCTGGGTTAAGGGGCTTTATCGACAGCTGCCTCAGTTTCCTTGGGTGCATAAGCAAAGGGAGGCACTGAATTCCCAAGATACTGGAGTAGGGCCTGGAAATCATGCCTGAAATCTCAACTACTTGGGAGGCTGAGGCAGGAGGATAGAAAGTTCAAAGCTGACTCTGAGCCTGGAGCATCAGTAGAGTACCATGCCCAAGCTTTACATGGGCCCCACCGAGCCGTAGCCCTTAGGGATGTCACAGGCCATAAGCAAGTCCCCCACACATAAAACACCTCATGTTCCAGATATGCTGCAAACTCCACATCCTCATGGGCTTCAGGAAGCTCACCACAGGCTCCTCAGAAGTAACTGCCTCCCCAACCCAGCCTCCAGGGTCAGGGCCTAGAGTTACATTTATTTCAATTTAAAGAATCAAATCAAATATTGCTTGTACAATCTGTAAAGTGCTTTTTAGAATCAAAATCCCCTGCACAGCAGAACTTATGGCAATCTCCATTACTGCCTGCATTTAATGGACAATAAACAGATAAGGCCGTGACCTGTTGAGAGCGACATAGATGTATCCCACAAGAGCCAGCACCTCTCACTCGAAGACCTTGCCCAGGAATATGTCCAACCCAAGATGGGCTTCCAGAGACCCTCTGAGAGATATGTTTATAGTCCAGAAGGTATGCTACATTCCAGAAAAGAACCCTAGGAAGCAGGTCTCAGAGGCACATAGCCCCACTGAGGGAATGGATTGCCCCAATTACCGAATGCTGAAATGCAGAATGGAAAACTATCACTTCCTATAATGCATTCCTTATTCCGATACAATCACTCCACAGCACTTAGCCTGCCAAGTATTTAATAGCCCAAGAATTTCCCTTCCTGATTCTAGGAGCTGAGCCAGGTGAGAACTGACCAGCCTCATACACAGGTGTCACTTTCTTAGCATCAGGGCCAGGTGTCTTTCAGGGGAGCTGGAGAGGCAGGGCTGAAGCAGCATTGTAGAGGGACTGTCACACCCAGCAGTGATCACAGGCAGCACTGACACACCCCACCATCCTCCTCCAGGGCACTTTTGGACACAGGCTTCCCTACTTGCCTCACACAAAGGGGAGTGGTTTGGACTTTCCTGAGATTTACACCAAGCTAATGCATTTCAACTACATCAGTGATTTGAGGCCTAGACTCCCATAAGAGTCACCTAAAGGGCTCATACGGAAACCTGGGCTTGGATTCTGGTAGGCCTGGGGCAGGGCCCACAGGGCCCTATGTAAGATAGGGAGGAGATTATAAAGTGCAGCTGCTTGTGTGGATAATGTCTCCAATGTCAGCATATATCAGAGGAGGCAGGGAAGTGGTTTAGTTGGTTAAAGTATTTGTCTAGCACATACAAAGGCTCTGGATCAGTCCTCATACATGGGATGATGGCACATGCCTGTAGACACAGCACTTGGGAGATGAAGGCAAGAAGACTGGAAGTTAAAGGTTTTCCAAAGGTAGTTCTAGAAGGACTGGTTAAGAGCAGTGATTCTCAACTTGTGGGTCTTGACCCCTTTGGGTGTTGAATGATCCTTTCACAGGGGTCGTCAGAGTCATCAGAAAACACAGATATTTATATGATTCACAACAGTAGCAAAATTACAGTTATGAAGTAGTAACAAAAATAATTTTATGGTCGAGGTCACCACAATACGAGGGACTGTATTAAAGGGTCACAGCATCAAGAAGATTGAGAACCACTGGGTTAAGACAAATTGCAGAGGCCATACTTGATGGAGCCGAACATTAACCTGCATTCCTCACAGACTCCTCAGCTGTGTGGACTCCACAGATCCAACACACTTTGATCTGCTGTACTAGGTCGATGGTTCTCAGCAGACTGTATCTGGAAATGTTTGGAGACAGTTTTGGTGACCATCGTGGGTGGGGACAGTGTGAGTCATGCTCCTGTGTCTAGTAGGTGAAGGACATAAATGCTACATAGCTTCCTACTATGAATGCATTGGGTTCCTATGACAGAGAATTAGTCAGTTACGGTGGCCAAGGGGCCACTGTGAGACCCTGTAAGTTATATCTAAGTTTTCGGGGGGCAGTGAAAAGACAACCTAAGCCTGTTCTCTCAGGCCCCAGCTTCTCCCCAGCATCTTACTCAAGGTTGCTTCTCCCCTGAACCACACTTCTTTCTCACTGGTCCCTGGACTTAGCTTGGGGCTTGTGATGATGGTTAATCCCAATTGTCAATGGGACAAGGTTGCCATGGAAACGAACCTCTGAGTGATTGCTTAGACTGGGTTAATTGAAGAGGAAAGTCCCACCCTGAGTGTGGATGGTGCCATTCTATGAAGTGGGGTCCCTTTCTGAACAGAGAAAAGGGAGCAAGCTGAGCACCAGCATCCATGGCTCTCGGGTGCAATGTCACCTGCTGCTTCATGATTCTGCAGCCACAGTGTCCCCACCAGGATAGACTGCACCCTCTACCTGTGAGCCAAAACCAACTCTTCCTTCCTTAAGTTGGTTTTGTTTGGTATTTTGCTACAGCCACAAAAGAAGTAATTAATACAAAGGTTGATCCCTGCTCTGCTTGCCCTGGCCATCCCTCGCCTGTGGATGGGAACAGTCACAGCATCTCACTCATGAGACTTGTGAGAATTAATGGAGGTTATAAATCACTTAGTCCTTGAGTATGTGGCTGTGGTTCCTATGCTTTCTACCTATTATCTACCCATTACCTACCCTGCCTGTCTCCAGTCAAACAGCTAAGACTGGTTCTGAAATACCCATGGTTGCAAGAGCTCTCTTGGAGCTTGTGAGGTGTGTGTAGAATATGTGGAGACAGATGCTGGTGTCCCAGCCCCTCTCCCTGGTTCTTAAACTGTCCCCCCACTTAGGAGTAGATCATTGGATCTTGGTCACCCAGTGAGTCCATCTCTTGTTAAGGCCATTTGAAAGAGGGAAGGAGATAAATGGGAAGCTTCTAGAACAAGATCTCTGCTGTCTATAGAGAACCCAGGGAAGAAAGGGGACAGTCGGTGCTTTTGACATTACATGTGGTTATGTCTAGAAGTTACGTGGACCTTGCGGGACTCTTGTGACCCACTGAGCAAAAGGATGATGGGAACCTGATATTCGGTGCTCCAGGGTCTGCACATCTGCCCTGACCTGCACCCCCACCGGCTTCTTCCTGGTGTGTGCGGGCAGGGGAACCACACAGTCTTCTTGCAGCAATTGGCCATGGATTGAGTCAGGTGGTCAGAGCTGTGGCTGCCACTGACACATACGGCCTCAGCCCAGTCTCCAAGTGCCCTAGAGGTAAGACTGGCAGAGGTAGGGGGAGCTATGGGTCCAGGTGTCAGGTTCAGAGGGCCACATCCCTCTAGAAGTTACCCAGCTCTGAGTCTTGATGACCAGCCTCCAAAATACACAGCTGGCCACCAAGATCTACCACCCTGGGATGTGAGGGACAGAACTCAATGGCATCTCTGTGGCTGTCTTAGGCCCAGTCCTCCTAGGATGAGAGCCTGCTCTTTTGAAGGACAGGGACCCCAGGCCTCTGGCTGGCCAGTAAGGGCAGGGATTAAACAAGAGGCCATGCTCTTGTTGAGAATTCTGACCCAAGAGCTCCTGGCTTGGCCCTCCCAACAGGCCTACTAATGCACTGCCAGATGGAAACCAGGGTAACCTAAACCTGCCCTCATTACTAAAGTCCTCTCTGATCTAGCCTAGGACATAGAGTCCAGGTCTCCCCATACCCCCTGGAGGCTAGAAGGACTCCCAAGACTCTTCTCCTAGAGTCTTAAAGTCCTAAAGGGGACACTAAGGTTGGGGTTTTACAGGGATCATTTCTCCTGCCTGGAAGCCTCCTCCCTTTGATCTGTCAGACCCCAACTCACAGGTCACATCCACAAGGACGCCCTCACTCCTCCCAAGACAAGCCAGGCCCATCCCATCTGTCTCACCTGCCCCCTTCTCAGCTGTTCCTCCTGCATGTTTTCAGTGTGGGTGCTTATGTGCTTTTTGTTTATTGGACCCTCTCTCCCCTCCTTGTCCCTCAGACCGCAGGTTTCCCTGAGGAGGAGCGCCCAACCTGTTCCTACATGCTAGAGACACAAGTAGTATACAGAGAGGCAGAAGAGTGGGCTCAAGTGTGCAGAGCTATGTGACTGAGTCTCAGTTTCTCCATCTGGAGTATGGGGATGACAACTGTACCTCTCTGCTTTGGGTATTAGAAGAACTATGTATATGAAGTTAGAGCTGGAGATAGAGTTCAGTGGTAGAGTACTTGCCTCATCTGAGTAAGTTGTGGGCTTGACCAACCAACCACACACACACACACACACACACACACACACACACTACAGAAACTAGGATGTGTCTTAATTGCAACTTTGCATTTGTGGGACAGTGGGAAGAAACAGGCACAAGAGAGGAAAGCCCAGGTCCACATCCCATTCCCATGTCCTCCATCATCCAGGATCCTGGCTTTTGTGTGGCCTCTGAGAAGAGAGTGGATGGCCTGGAGGGTTCTCAGAACCCATCTTCAGATAAGTGGCTGTTTGTGCTGGAGAGGCAGTCTCTCCCTAGGCCCTCACCCTTCCCTGGATTCTAGAGGGAGCCTCCTCTGGATGACTGTTACACGAGGAATCTTTCCTTAGCCTGGGGACTGGGACATGTATAAGTCAAGTGCAAAAACAAGATATGGCCAGCTCCATCTTCTCTGGGAATTCTGCCCTTCCCAGGGCCGCATGTACTCCAGGCTCCCATAGGCAGGCTCAGGAATCAGAGCAATCTTGCTTCCCAAGCACAGCTTCCTGAGCAAAAGACAAGGGTCTGCAGCACCTCACAGACCCACAAAGTCAGGGTTCCACCTTTGAAGGAACAAAACTAGACTAAGTCTTGAAGTCCATTTGTGGGCACCAATTCTACTCACTGTGTGACCCTTGGCTTCTGACCTCACCTCTCTGGGCTCAGAATACCCTACTCCCTGGGCCTCTGTGAGCATGGGACAGCAGCTGGGCATGGATGGATTGTGTAATAACTTTTGTAGCCATGGAAAGCACACTGCAGTGTTCAGATCCTGGTACCCGGGCACTTTGCTTCCCTCCATCTCTATACCACACCACACCTTCCTCTGTAGCTCGGGTCATTCCCAGTGAGTCACCTGCCACCTAGATGCCATGAGTCTAAACCCCACTCTCCTCCAGTCCCAGCCCTCACCCCAGCTCCAAGCCCATGTTTTCAGCAGACCTAGGTGTCTCCATTTGGAGGCACTGTTCAGAAGTCATGACCATTGGCCAAGAATCCAGCTCTCCCTCTCCAGCCTCATCCTCCCTCTCCAGCCCCATCCTCCCTCTCCAGCCCCATCCTCTCTCTCCAGCCCTATCCTCCCTCTCCTTAGCTTGCCCATCCTATCCATGGAAGCCAGAAACCCCAGTGCCAGTCTGGAGTTCACACCCCATGTCTCAGATCTTCCTCCAGCCATTGTCCTAACTTGGGCTGTCATTATTGCCCACCTAGGCTTCTAAAGAAGCTTCCTGTGGCCATTTCCTCCTTGGTACAGCTGTGCTGAAGCTATAGGGGTCTCTGGGTGGTGCCACCAATTTCTTTCCTGCTGGCAGTCTTTTAGACACGGCCCCTGTCCTTAGGATAGGAAGCCTTTTCCGCCCCATGATCTGGCCTCACTCTCTCTCTTCTTCACTCCTGATGCAACCTCCTTACAGCCCCAGGCATAAATTTTGTTCTCTGGCCTTTGATTTACTATGTGGGGTCTGGAATGACCTCATCACTCCCACCTACCCCACCTCTCTGCCTTCCTACCCAGGACTCCAGCAGGCTCAGAAGAATGCTACCCCTGAGAGGCCTTTAAAACATTCTCACTCTTCAATGCCCCCACCCAAGACTGATACAGCTGCTCTTCATTCTCTACTTTCAGGATCCCCTGAGTACATCATTGCCATGCACAGATCCCATCTGATCACCTGTGAGCATGTCTAAGTTGCCCAGGAGCCTCTAAGCTAGAGCCGTGTCTACCCTGTTCCCAACTGGTATAGGCATGCATGGTGGGCCAACAGCTTCATGCATGAAAATTCAGTCAAGTGTGCAAGAAGGATCACAGTATGGCCTCTACCTTGCTCACCTGGGCCCTTGCCCAGGCATGGGGCTGCAACCACCTGAAGAAGGAAGAATGTTGTCTTCTGATTTGCCCCTCATCCCTGGGGCCTATGGACCAGTAGCGGCTTTCCTTGCCACTGTACCCCTTTATTAGAAACAGCTCCCAGCTCCCAAGGTAGGCACCCCGCCACTGTCCCTTGTATTAGATAAAGGGAATGTCTCAGCACACCTGCCAGCGGGTGCCCCCACGCCTCTCCCCAGCAAGCTGTTATTTGCAGCAGCACAAACCCTTGCACTTACCCACTGTGCTGAACACTGTACAGCAGAAAAAGAGAGCACTCAGGAAGGACCAGTCCTCAGGTGCCTTGAACCACTGGGGCTTCATCTGCTGCAGATGCTCACACAGGTCCTTCCTGTTGCCTTCCACCACTGGGGAGAGACCAGAGTAATAAAACGGGCTCTGCCTGTCCAGACAGTCCTGCCCAGGGAGAGGACCAGGGCCAGCAGCACCCCCAGCCCCAGCCCATTTGTCCCAGCAACACTGCAGCCTGTCCATCAAAACCCTCCTTGGAAATGCTTCCACAGCTTAGATCCAGCTGCTGGTGCCTACGGTGTCTAAGAGGTTGGAGAGTCCCATGGGGGCCTGGGTGTGACCTGAGCTCAGCAGCCTTGGAGGATTCCTTACTTCTCCCACAGTCCTAAACTGATTTTTTTTTCCTTTGAGAGATGGCCCAGGCTGAACTCCAATGCTATAATAACCAAAGATAACCTTGAATTTCTGATCATCCTTACTCCAACACCCAAATGTTGGGATTACAGGCATGGGCCATCATGGCTGGTTTATGTGGTGTTGGTGATCGAAGCCAGGGTTTTATGCATACTAGCCAAATACATCTTAGCCCTTTGAAGGATTTCTTAATGTTTGAACTATTTCTTTCATATTTCATTTTGTTTGTTTTGTTGTTGTTTGAGTCTTTGGGGTTTTGATACTGTTGTTATTTTTTGAGACAGGGTCTTGTTATGAATCCTTGGTTGGCCTAGATTATACCAATTCTCCCATCTTTGCCTGCTGGGTGTTCAGATTATAGTCATGCACCACCATGCCCAGCCTTCTTTATTCATTTTAAAGAGGAATAAAAGCCTCTGCCGTCTCTCTTGTGGAATTCTAAACTCGAAGCAAAAGGCTTTCAGCAAGCCAGACTGTGGTGAGAAGCAAGGCACTGAGCCCACAGGCTTGGTGAGCACCCTGAGCTCCGGGCTTCAGGCTGAGGCTGTCTCTAGGGATGGGAAGCCTTGGTCCTAAGCTAAGAGGATGGCACAGTCTGGCCACAGGGGAAGTCATCACCCACTTTAATTGAATGGCACTAGCCTGGGAATCCAGAATCCGGCATCTAGACTCTTCCTGACTACTTCTTATAGCTCTAAACAAAAGGCTACTTTCTGAGCCTCAGTTTCTCCATCAGCAAAGTAGTGCAGCCTGGTGGTAAGAAGCTCAGATTCGTCGTCGGTGCCCTGAATGGAATTCCTGTCTTGCTTTCCTTGTATGTGAACTTTGAAAGTTATGTAACTTTCCAGGGCAAAAGAAGATAGGAGCTTAAAGATATTGTTAACAGAAAAATAGAAAATAAAAGATAAATAAAAAAGCAGTCTCTAACAACCAGGGAGAAGAAGAGGGCTTGGGAGCCTGCACCCTGCATGTTGCTGCTCCCCAGGTGGGGACACGGTTTGGGAGCAGGTCTTGTCAGCTGTGACTGACTGGGAGGTGGCCCGGGAAGTCAGAGTCCTGCTCTGTGGAAGGTATCTCTTCTTGCATCTTTGTCATAGAGACATTTCTACTTAGTGGCCAGAGAGATGCTGAGGTATACTTGGGGCTGTCATAAGACCCCCATCTCCAGCAAGTTCAGGGCCTCCTGAACCAGCCCACACCTCAGATTCACCCAGGGAATCTGTCTAAAGTACACATCTCCAAGCTTTCTCTCAGATCCACACAGTCAGGAGCTCCAAGGCTTGCCTGGAAATCTAATTTGTAAAGGGATCCTGGACACAGAACGGAGTGTGCAGACTCTGAGAACTGGGGAGTCAAGGGCTGATAAGGGTTAGTCTAACCCCAGGATGCACTTTCTTACTTAGTCCTCCCCAGGGCCCCTGACCTTGTTTCCATTTTTATAAATTAGAAACTGAGGCCCTGGCATCTAGACTCACCCTGACCAAATCAAAGGATGAAACACAAACAAAAGGCCGTAGGACACCTGTTGAGCATCTTCTGCCTCATACCTCTCATCTCTGCCTTCCAAGGAGTCCTCACTATTGGCAGATTTCAGATGGTAGGTCCCCTTCTCTTCAGGAGACTAACAAGGGCCCTGCTGCTGCTGTGGATCACATAAGCTAAGCTAAAACAACAACCTGGCCTCTGTCTGCCCCAGCCCCGGACCCCACCCCTCACCAGCCCACTACAAACAGACTTTGAAATAGGAATCAGCTTGTTCATCCCGGGAATCCAAAAAACTGAAGTCACACCACTTATCCTGCCCATCCCACAAAATCTCCAGTGACCTACCCTCCCCTAAGCCCTGAGGGGATGGGTGGGGCTGGTGGGAGCCTGAGGCACCGGGAAGGAAAAGCTGGACCTTAAGAGCGCCTGCTTAGAGCTTACTTTTCTCATTACACGCCTGGGAGGGTGCCTGTTCATCTCCCCATTGCCCAGAGAAGAAAAGTGACCCCACTCCCCACAAGCCCACTACTGATAGACTTTGAAATAGGAACCAGGAAGGAGGAGGTTACAGGTGAACTCCTCTCAACCCCCTGCCAGGACAGCTGCAAGACAGTAACCTCTCAGGCACCTACCTGTTCTATTACATTTCAGGATGCTACACAGCTTGTCCAGGAACTTCTTCAACTCAGGATTCTCCTCAGCCTCTGGATCAGGGCGGCCCTCTACTGCAGAGAATAGAGCAGCACCCACCAGTGCATAGGTTACCAGGCAGCAGAGGAAACAGAAGCCAGGCAGAAGCTTGCCCAGGGCCTCAGGGCAGCATCTCCTGGCTTTCCCCAGGACGTCGGGGCAGCATGCCCTGGCCTCAAGTGGCTCCTCAGCCTCCATCCTCTTGGAACAGCTCAGGGAAGGACAGGAGGTCTGTGTGGAAGAGGCGGAGGCATCCAGCCTGGGCCTGGAGGAAAAAGGTGGGAGTGGCCGGAGAATGGCCAGGCTCCAGCCCTAAGTGGATGGTGCGTGAGTTTCCCAGAGGACCCAGGAAGCAGCCGGAACCCATCATGTTCAGCTCATCCAAATAACTGGGATGGCGCCCCTGCTAGCGCCCCAAATTGCTATTGATCCACCTGACCAGCGCCAGAGCTGCTGGTGGGGGCTTTGGAGGACCTCGTGGTGATTGTTTTGTGTTTTGTTCTGCCTTTCCCGTTCTGGAACTGCAGCTTTGGCTTCCAGGTACCAAATCTGATATTCAGTTCTTAGTCAAATGCCTGTCCTTTCTGAGCGCTGTCCGGACACCTCTTGCCCTGGCATACCCGGAATATTGGACAACAGAAATAAGATTGAATACAGACATAGCCCCACTGTTTCCAAAGTGCTGGAACCTGTAGGCTCTCTCACTAGCCTGGAATTTGCCAAACAGGCCAGGCTGGCTGGTCTGGAAACCCCAGAGATTCGCCTGTCTCTGCCTCTCCAGTACTGGGATTCTACGCAGGCGCTGGCACGCCTGGCCTTTTTTTTTTTTTTTTTAAATGATAAATCTGGGGGTTGAATTCAGATCCTCATGTTTGCAAGGCTAGCTCTTTACCGACTGAGTCACCTACCTAGGCTCAACTTCCTGTTTATTGAGGTTTTTCCTCCTCTAGAGGGGTTTTGTTGACGAAAGTGCCAGTAAAACAAAACTAAGTTCCTGGGCTGCTGAGGCCAGTGCAGTGCCTCAGTCGGGGCAGACATAGTGTGGACAGAATGCGGAGAAAGACCGCAGCACTACCACAGTCCAAAATGAATCTTTCTGCTCCAGGGTTAGAGGTGTTACTGGTTGAATATAATCGTCCTCTCAAATTCTCTGTTAGGGAATTCTGTCTTTTGGGCCCAGCAGGGCCATCGCTGGATGGAAGTCAGAACATCTGTGATTATCCACATGAGACCTCTACAAGGTCCCTCCCGTTTCTGAGAATATGTCAGTTGCTGGGGACCGGGACTCTTCTTGGGTGATGTAACTGCCCGTGAGCCGCCCATGCACCTGTAAGTAACAAGAGACTCATATTCACCAAACTGGACTTGGGTAGAATTGTTTCTATAATGAGTCACTACCCTGTCTATCTGGGGTAACTAGAAAGAGACTCCCTCATGGCTCAGCACATAAGGGTACTTACCACCAAGCTTGATAACCTGAGTTTAATCCACTAAACCATCACAGTGAAATGAGAGAACTGATTTCTACAGGTTGCCCTCTGACTTCCACATGTGTGCTGTGGTAGGTGCACACACACACACACACACACACACACACACACACACACACACACCCCACATAATAACGAATACATCTAAAAACTTTTAAAGAAATAGAATCCTGGGGCTGGAGAGAGATGGCGGCTCAGCAGTTAAGCACATGGTAACACAAAGCTGCCTGACTTCAAGGCATCCAGTGAGTCTTCTGGCCTCCCCAGAAACTATATGTACACCACGTACAGACTCACATGCAGGAAAAACACCCACATACACAAAATAATTTTTTAAAATGTAAAAAGAAAGCATTCTTCAGAGCTTATTAATTCTCAGTAAAGTGATTTAGCACCTTCATGTTTGGCTGGGAAGAACCTCTTCCTTCCACCACACATGGATGCTGTTGTGAGAGGGTACTGTCAGTGGGATAGGCCCTCACCAGACACTGACCTCTTCACCTTAGACCTCTAGCTCCAGAATTGTGAGAAATTAATTTCTGTTCTTCATAAAGCACCCAGTGTGTGGCTTTTGATATAGTAACATAAATGGACCAAGACAGGATAAATAGTACAGTCCTACTGAAGACCCTGGCCACCATAGTCTTCTCCAATCTCTCCTCCTGTCCCCTCCCTTCCCCTCTCCTCCTCCTCCTTTCCCCCTCCTCATATAGACATTCAGGGGCCAAGCTGCTCAAGAACAAATAACCCACCAATTCTTTTAAAAATAATGAGAAACCAATTACACGCCTACATTAGACATGGCATTGATTCCTAAAGATCAAATTGCTGTGTTACAATCAAGTTGTACAGCCAACTTTATATTTGTATCCTACAGGTTTAGTCACTGCAGGGGAGAGTGTGGGAACTGAAGGAAGAAAAGTCTTAATATAAAAGACTTGGTAGGACGAGGGTGGACGTGAAAGCCAGACCTCCAAGGCTTGCTTATTTGACCCTACCTGCCCACGTGTGCAGCCTCCAGAGGACCACTTCTTGCTTAAATTTCTGCTTGTGGCCCTTTGACTCTGCCCTGGGGAGAGGTCATGTGGCCTTCCACAGGATTAACAAGATAAGAACAGTTCTTCCATAAAAGACACACATGCAAGGCTGGAGATGTAACTCAGCTGGCCGAGAGCTTGCCTAGCACTAATCAAGCTCTGGGTCCTGTTCCCAGCCTTGCAGAAATCTGGTGCCTGGCGCATGCTCATATCCCAGCACTTGTGAGGTGGAGGAAGGAATAGGTGTTCGGGATCACTCCTAGTTACCTAGTGAGTTTGAGGCCAACCTAGACTGCAAGTGACCCTGTCTCAATTAACAGGTGAATAAATAAAACTTAAAGGGCAGACATGCTACCTTCCAGAGAGGATGATGAAGGCCGCTACTGACAGTCTTTGCACACGAATACCAGTTCTTCATCTAGACCAGTACACTAGATGGGAAAAGTAGACCGAAAATGCACACGCCAGTGTGGTACTTAGATAACCATGCAGGACATGGCTGAGGTTTGAATATGAGCTGTTCCTCATAGGCTTATATGTTTGAGCACTTGGTCACTGGCTTGTGGTATGATTTGGAAAAGTTGTGGGACCTTTAGAGGTGCAACCTCCTAAGGCTGGAGCCTCCCTGCAGAAAGAAGAATCTTACTTGAGGCAGGCTTTGGGGTTTTATAGCCTCACTTTACTTCCTATTCAGTTTCTGCTTCCTAAGTGTGGATGCATTGTGATCGGCCAGCTTCCTACTCCTGCTGCTGTACCTTCTCTGCTGTGGTGGGTGAGAGACGCCACTGTGAGCCAGAACAAAACCTTTCCCCCTGTGTTGTTTTCATCAAGGTATGCCATCACAGCAACAGAAAAACAAAAAACTAACAGGCACACACAGATCAACCAGGAAATGTTCGTTGTGGCAGAGACCGAAGCCCAGAGAAACATGGTTGGGAGCAGAGAATGTCACTTACAAGGGAAGGCTCCAAAGCTGGCTGGAGCTCTGGTATCCCAGAGTTCTGATGCAAAAGAGCATGGATGTCCCAGCACAAACAAAGAGCGAATTCTCCCTTCCTCTACATTTATCCTATTTGGAGCCTCGATGGATGGATTGGAGGATATTCAGCCATTTTGGTGAGGGTGGATCTGTTTTATTCAGTCTGAAAATGAAAATATAAATCCCTTCTAGATAGACCTCCAATCACCATAGGAATGATATTGTACCAGTTCCCTGGGCATCCCATGGTCCAGGGAGGTTAACATATAAAATTAACCATCACTGGGCTTGGACAGCCCGGTCAATAAAGTGCTTGCCTTGTGAGCAGAAAGACTAGGATTTGATTCCCCAGAGTTCACTCCTTTTTTTTCCCAGAAAGGTGTGGACTTTATTTGCCCATTCTAGATGTGCTGTTTGCATCCTCCTTCCCAAGAGAAGCAGTGCAGTCTAGAGGGGCAACCAGGAAGCCAGGGAGGTGAAGTGATAGTCCCTGGGGCCTGCCTAAGATGCACATCACCGTCTTTTCTTTGTTGAAAATAAATTCTAGCCAGGTAGTGGTGGTGCACGCCTTTAATCCCAGCACTCAGGAGGCAGAGGCAGGCAGATCCCTGAGTTTGAGGCCAGCCTGGTCTACTGTGGATATCGTGCCAGGCAGAAAAACTCTAGCTACACTGGTCTATAGAGTTAGGTCCGGGACAGCCAGGACTACACAGAGAAACCCTATCTCCAGAAAGAAAAAAAAAAGATAGAAAATAGATTCTTTTCTCATATCCTGATTATAGTTTCCCTTCCCCCTACTCCTCCAAATCCCTCACCACCTCCTCTCCCCCTCTGGATCCACTTCCTTTCTGTCTCTCATTGGAAAAGATAGGACTTACACTCTTTCCACCTCCTCCATGGAATTCCCTGAGCTCTGAGGGGAGGAATTTGATGGAGACCTCTTTCTCTCTGCATGTCTGGCTATGAATTTCTGCATCTGTTCCTATCTGCTGCAGGATGAACTCTCTCTGGTGATGACTGGATAAGGCACTATCTATGAGTGTAGAGTGTAGCAGAATATCATTAGTAGTCATTTTACTGATTTTTTAATAGACCAGTAGTGTTTGGTTTTACCCTAGGTCTCTGAACTATCTGGGCCTGGGTTCTTGGTCACTCAAGAGTGTCAGATATGGTTTCCATCTCATGGACTGGGCCTTAAGTCAGATCAGACATTGATTAGCTACTCTCACAAGTTCTGTGCCACCATTGCCCCAGCATATTTTGAAGGTAGGTCAAAAGTTTTGTTGTTGTTGTTTGGTGTTTTGTTTTATTTACTCCTTGTGTCTTTCACTCAAGTATCTTGATTCCATTCACTCCCTGTCCTTTCACATCTGCCCTCTGTCCTGCACTCCCCACCCTGCCCCACCCCTGTACTTCCCACCTCTCCACTCCCCACCCCCTCAAACAAAATGAAATTCAAGAGAAAAAAGAAGAAAATAAAATGAAAAAAATAAAAAAGGGGGGAAATCTCATCTTGGAAGCTGCAGTGTGACCCAACAAGTCATGCCATATACCTCTTTGTCCATACATCTTTACTTGCAAGTGTTAATTGCAAAGAGTCATTGGAGGCCCCTGATCTCCACTACATAGTCAATTTGGGGAGCGAGTGGTACTAGAACTCTTCCTGGACATCCTGGTGCTGTCCTGTGTTGT